CTTTGAAATATTCAAGTAGCTGATAGGCCCTTTCTTTCTGCGTCCTGGTGCTAGTGCATATTTTTTCAGCGTTTCTCCGCACCAATCGACGCGAGTTTTTTTCTGAGCGATTGCCATATTAAATGGGATCCAACGCGCACATAAATTTCTAAAGGTCAAATGTTCATGCAGTAGTGCATTTATGGTAGGCACGTGAACGCCTAGGGCCATCTCAATCCAGCTATCTATAATCTATGTCAACTTAAGCGCCGGCCGCTGTGGTGTAGTGGTTAGCAGTGCGCACTACCAAACCGTAGGGCCCAGGTTCAAGCCCTGGTCAAAGCAACATCGCCAAAAAAAATATAGAAAAAATGTTTTTTCTTAACAGCGGACGCCCCTCGGCAGGCAATGGCAAACCTGCGAGTGTAAAATACAATCAAACAAAATTGGAGTCGGCGTAAAACTGTAGCTCCCTCCGCTTTGTGTGACAACGTCAAGGCGCACGCCACAAAGTGGAGGTGAAAGAACATACATATGTGTAAACGTCAATCTATTATATTATTAAAAGTTTGAAGTAACTGTAAACAGCACCAAGAGCGCTCGTCAAATGTCAAGTTCTACGAAGCAAAGGTCAGATCAAGTGAAATGATATTAGAGTTACGAATTCTATAGACTAGTTTAGTGACCCTCTTTTTTATTGTAATCTGTTTATTTATATCTATTTTTAATTACTTTTAAATTAATTTTTTTACTTTTTTATTTCATCGATTTTTTTTATTTTTGTTATCTATTTTATAATTTTCATTTACTTTTTAATATTTATTTTTCTTAAATTTTTAATTTTTTCATAGTTTTTTTTCTTGAAGTTTTATATATATATTTTTTTTATTTTTTTTGCCTATCTTCACATTTTATCTTTTGTATTTTTTACCTTAGAAATATTCCTTTCATGTTACCAGCGCATACAACGAAAAATAATTCCCAGGATAGCTGTTCTATTGACGTCAACCGCGTCCACAGCACAAAACGCACACAGGAAGGACGCTCAAACGCTCAAAACACAGATGATGTTGGCAAAGAGAAGTAAAACAAAAGTTAAAAGCATACATACACACATAAACAAAAACGCCTACAACAACAGCTGTCTGCGCTAGGCAAATACAAATATAAACATTGGTTATAAATTCGACAGCAAACAGACTCTATTTGTTTTGTCAAAGGTACGTATGTACATATGTACATTAGGGTGGTCCAAAAA